GTTTCAGAAAGGCGGGGCATAGAGGAGAAACAATAATGTACAGTATGTGGAAAATAGTGTTTTTTAACCTTAAACCGCATAAACACATTGCATTACACCAAATACACAAAATAATGTTTTTTTAGCAGCATCATATGACCCCTTTAAAAGAGAAATTTAATTTCAGAGCGTTTTTGAGCACATACTAATCTATACAATAATATATATTCTTAATGCAGGTGGGCATTTCTTCTTTCTTTTACTGAACTGTCTGTGATAAGGCAGCAGGGAAAACTTATAAGAAAAGGATGGCCAACAGAACTCTAACTGTGTGACCTGGTGCATTGAGGTCACACTTAATCACCTTTCAATGCAGTCAAAACACAACTGTTGTCATGTTTTGAAAAAAAAATAAAAAATCATGTTTTTCAAATGTATCCAGATTAATGTGAATGTAGTCATAATCACAGACTATTTACAGTTCCTGTGTGGACACATTCATTGCTTTGGTTCCCAAAAATGATTTAACTAAAAGATGCAAACACTCAGACCTCTTTTACAATCGTGTCACGTTTTAAACCATGGCTCTTCAGCTCTGGTCTTGAGGGCCACTGTCCTGCAAAGTTTAACCCCAACCCTAACTAAACACACTTGAACGAGCTAATCAAGGTCCTCAGGATCACTAGAAAGCTACTAATACTGCATATTCAAATATAAAAGTTATTCTGTGTTTTACAAGTTTAAATAAGTGTCATGAATTTTGCATTAAAACTTCTAACTGAACATAAATATTTATTGTCAATGAACTTCAGTAGATAACAGATCTATACAAATAATAGAGACTATCAAAGTAAACCCTTAGTTGGATTTAAATCTTCCAAAAAAATAAAAACAAAGCACATTTATTACTCACCAATCAGACGGCAAAAACAACAGAAAACAAATGAGCGAGACATTTTCTACAACATTTAAGGGATCTGCAATACAGTTGTGTAGAGACACAATCTATGAGATTAAAATGACTCCAGTGTGTGCTTGTGTTTCACAGCAGTTACTTTTAAGGGGCTAAGCGTGTTTCACACTCTGGGTTTCCGATGTTTTCACAGGAAGCCATTGTATTCTGCACAAAAATAAACCCGACAATCATGATGCATTTACTGATGTCAAATAATGTTTTCGACAAAATTTTGCTAATAATGAAATTAAATGTAAAATAAAAGAAAGTTAATTATCAGATTAAAGCTTTGATTTCATTAATATAACAAATATGTGATGTAACCTAGAAGAAGAAGAAAACGGTCCTGGGGAGTAGTGATGTTAGGTTCTTGAACGAATCGTTCTTTTGAGCCGGTTCTCAGGAAGTAACCGGTCGAGCCGGTTCACAAATCGAACAGAATCGAACTTTAACCAACTGTCGAAGTTTGCCGAGAATTACCGAGGACTCAAAAAGAACCGAATGAGCCGGTTCAACCAACTGTCGAAGTTTACCGAGGATTACCGAGGACTCAAAAAGAACCGAATGAGCCGGTTCAACCAAATGTCGAAGTTTACCGAGGATTACCGAGGACTCAACAAGAACAGAATGAGCCGTGGCGAAGTTTGCCGAGGATTACCGAAGATTCTGATTGAGTTGACGATACTGTGCAAGCCTGAGGCGCGTACTGGAATTATGCTTGTTTATTATGACTGCTATTAATTTACATTTTATTAAAACCTGCAAAAACCTTTCTGTCGAGTGATGTAAATACATTTTACAATAGTTTAGTGTGCATTAATATTATATTTAAAGTTGCTTAAGCTAAATCAAGGAGTTTATTAGACTAGTTTATTCATTATTTATACTGCAGACATGTAGAACATATCCGCGTTTGTGCATCAATGTCTGTAATGTGTGCTGTAGGTGCGAAACTTTTAGGAATCTTATCCAAGCTGTAGGCTAGTCAATATTGGTCAGTCGGTCGTATCTGAGGATCCGCGAATGAAACTGTGACCACAAACACCATTAACTTAAGTGAATTATATGGCAATAATCAGCAATATGCGTTCACACAAATAAC